GATTGCAATATTTGTAATCACACATTAGAAAATTTGATAAAAATGCGATATGTAATTCCATCCGCAATGTTACGCTGTTGCACAAGTCGATCGTATGTTATTAAAATAAATAATATACATTTCTTTTTATTTCTGTAATAGATGCTACAAGAAAGTACATAGTTTTAGGTGTTAGTTTGTGCGAGTTACGCGTTTTTTAATCAACTTTGATTCGACATTTGTGCGAACTCTATATCGTGGATTTCGTTCGGGGAGGGAGATTTCAACGTCGTTGACTTGCACAAGCGATGTCACGAGCGTATACGTGTACACCTCAAGGCTGTTCACATGTTTTAATTGTCCAAATAACTCGAAACTCGTTAGAATACGCAGATAATCTTCTTCTTAATGCGTTCTCACAAAATTGTAAAGAAAAAACTAAATAATATTCATATTAAAGTCACATTTTTGGCAATATTTGTTTCAAAGTTAAAATTTGTGAATTGCTCGAATCTCGTCATTACTTGTACCTAGGAGAAGTTTATGAATCAGTAAAAATTTAAAATAAATATTCCTCCAGGGTTTTATTCTTTTTTCGTTTTTAAGAGGAGGTAAATTCGTGTCTTTCTTCAAGTTACTGAATGTATTTCCAGAATTGTTACCTTTGATATGCATCTTAGATTTTGTTAAGAATACCAACGCTCGCCAACAATCGGATTTTATAAATTTGATCATAGCATACAAACGTGTCCTGAGTTACGTAAATAATTAAGTTCCTTGAGTCATACGGATTCTATTCAGTTACTCAATACTTTTCGCATCTCGAGATCCTTGTGAATTACTCACGCGATCGAATTGCATGAAATGATCCGTAGAAATTCCGTTTTCGAATCGTGTGAACCATCAAGGTCGCCGAAGTTTTCTCCGATCGTGCGTGACCTTTTCGAGTCAACTGGAAATCGAAGTATTTCGAACATATTTCAAATTAATCAATCAACGAAGTCATCTTAAATTGTTCCGAGGGTTACTCGAGATTTCTTTCACTTGCATGACAAAATCTTGCATAGAGATACGCCAAAGAAAGGTAGGATTGTCCACGTATTTTCGTGACATAGAGGACCCTCTATATTTACGACCGTGTTTCAAGTTATACGAATCATCGAGCTATCCAAGTCGTCATCGTCGACGACGGGCTACTCGAAAATATTCGAGTACTCGGCCATCATTAATATGCATGCATGCACGGCTGCGCAAGACGCGTACGAACTTTTAAATGGAGCTACATTTGTATTCAATTCATGCACGGTTTACAGCACAGGCGTTCCTTCCCTTAGAGCGCGGTCACATAAGTGTTTTTATAACGGACGTTGCAACAATTATATACGAGCTTATTCACACGAACCTCGAGTTCACGTCTGTTCACGACGGTCTTTAACACTTTGACTGCTGTCGCCTGCATGCGATTTCACTGTTATCAGCTGCAGTTACGCGAAGGTGGCTTGCCCTTTCAGCAATTATTTACCATTATTGCAATAATATTTTAAATAATAATGGAATTATCAAAGGCACACAAGGAATAAAATTTCGGTCGGAAAGACTGAATTTGGGATTTATCTTTTCTATTTTTCTTTTTAATTCCAAGAGGTAAAGTTGAGTAGAAGATACGTGTTTACATGTATAATAAAGGGTCTTTATAAACAGAAGCGTAACTTCAAGAGAAACACAGTTCGTCTAAATTGAAATTTTTCTCACACGAATACTCGGAACGATGATATACGAATGTAGTAAAGAAATGAAAAGTTGCTATCAAAACCATCGTGCTATAAAAAAAAATTCAGAAAGTGTGCTATTTTCGCAAGGGTTCATTTATGCTGCTGCTCAAGCAGCTAGGAAAATCTGTCGGAGAAAAAAATGTTCGAAATCTCTCGCGAATTCACACGCAACCCAAGTGTAGAGAGATGTTACGGCTGCAACAGTCTCGCAACTGTGCACCGGATACCCTCGATTGTGGTTTACTCCTGATTCGTGACAATATCCAAATTTCTAGATACGTTCGACGAACATCGACATCAAATATCGTCTTGTACATTTTGTCGCACGATAAGAATCTTAGGAATTTCATACACGAAGCCGACACACCTAACGCGACGAGATATTTCGTGTCGTCAATTCGAAAGCTACTTTTCGTTAACGCGAACGGAAGCGCGGGATCGAACACTTTAACACGTTGACCTGCTGAACTTTATTAAACCGTGTGCAATAACGTTACATCACGTCCTATTTGTTAGACAGTTTCTTACAATTTTCTTTGATTGTTTTATTCTTTTTAATTATTTTTTTTATTGTTGTTTTTGTTGTGCTTTTATGGATACACTTGTTCTTTCTTTTTTGTATCTGCATTCAACTTTTCTCGTGTTCGATTTACTTACAGGATCTTAATAGCTCGTCACTTTTTTTTGTATGACTACTGTAATTCTGTGTTTCTTTCGTGTTTCATCTAGTATTTGTTACGACCTTTACCGTAATATACCACCACTTGTCACGGTGATATACAATAAATGAGCTATTGTCATTCAAAGAAGTCGTCGAGTAATTGGTTTAGAGTGTTATAGGATTAGAGTATCCGGTCAACAGTGTGCGCATTCTTTTGAAAATGACTCGTGAAATTTAGGCTACTCAGTTACATGTTGCAGAATTCATTTGGCCGGTGTCTGAACAGCCGTTTCTACTGTCTCGATTTCTAATTTCATTAATGAATTGATGATAGATAGCTTCGATACTATGTATCGCGTGGAATCTCATCGCAAGCTTGATAATTTGCACGCATTTTTCATGCACTCTGTAACAGATTTTAGTGGCACGTCCTTCTCAATTAGAAGGAGAAATCCGGGTGATTTAGGTTGAGTAACGCGGTTGAATCTCTCTGTCATCGTTTCAATCATGACTAATCAGGTTCAAGGTTCTCTTATCATAGATCATTGAGTTCCTCCATGCATCAGCCGCATGATTATGTAAAAGTAAATACGATGTTTCATGCAGAAGGTTCAAGGTAACTCGAAGCAAAAGAAAAACATTGCATCTCTATCCGAAATCGTTTGCTACGAATTTCATTTATTTAAATAGCTCTGACACAGTCGCGCGTTACGATTGATTTATTATCTTCTAATTATTTAATTAGGAGAAATCGGAATGTAACACAGTAGAGACTTATTAATTGTTATAAGAACGTTGAGATAGGCTACGATTATTTAATAAGGAATAATTTTTTATCGAGAAAAAAATTAAATACTTTCCACAGCGGTAATAGTAGTTGATATTTAACGATATTTGAACTCGTTTTAACTGCAAGGAAATAGTATCACAAATCAATGCAACATTCTGCCACATCTGAAATCCAGTTTGTTGCGCCATTAAATGACCCATTAAAACAGACCTGTTAAAGCCCACTCAGGTCGACATATACTTTCTCATTATAAAATAAATGTTTGTTATATACAATGCTCCAGCTACAAGAATATATTTATCTCTATCCGTGTTGTACATTTGACAATGATAAAAAGCATTAATTAAATATTAAGAATAGATAATATGTAAAATATTAATTACCGACTTCTTTAAAATAACACGAAACGAATTACCAACGGAACTATAAAAAATTATAAAAAATTCTTACGGCGTGTTAAAGCTTTGGGAAGGATCGAGCTGTTCCAGCGTTCTAAAATTAAATGGCTCATTTAATGATATTAATTTCAAAGCATTTTTTTTTCGATTTTCTCGGTGGCATGCCCTCGTCAAAGAAAAATTCTCGCAATGTAACCGAGCCGAGACGATGAAAAAGGGGATTCGATTCCGCGTCGAATTTCCCTGAAACTCTTGGCTTTCACTTCTCTCCGAAGAATGCGAAGGCTGAGCGCCGGCAGAGCCGTACCAACTGCCCCCTTCACCAGTCGCAATACGTTTAGAAAATTTTTCAACAACCCAGCCACTCTCGTTGGCCCGTTCGTTTCCCCTTCCATCGCTGATCCATGGCGGCGAGAGGCTGGCCGCTTCTCCAAATGGCGAATTATTAGCGGACTCCGAGTGCTTATGCATTTCCAGCATAAGCAAACACGCAAAATACAGGCTGGACTAAACGTCGGCTCACAATTTTCCAGAACCGCTGTTCAATCTTTCACACTATACCTGGATTTGCTCGTGGTCTTGCAGAACAGTTCGATTTTATTTAATTACAAATTACTTCTTGGAAATAACAAAGCAAAATGATCCGTACGACGAAGGTGCGACGAAGTAACGTTCAACGGAGGCTCGCTACTATTTCGTTTTCAGTTCAGTTTAGAACAAATGATTACGCGTCTTTGATTGACGCGTCATTGGCACCGTCCGATAGTTGCAACACCTGCATGTATGTTATTTCTCCGAATTTCGATGAATCAGAGTGATCTCAACGAAGAAAGCACATTGCTTTTGGATGACAACGCGATATATCGCGTTCATATACAATTCTTTGGGAAACTTTGTAGCATGTTAAAATCCCTAGAAGAGAACTTAACTCTTGATTTCCACCATAGAATTATCATAATCATCTTAAAGTCGTAATAAAAACGTAAAAAATAAAAATGTTAATAGAGAAATCTGAAGAACGTCTGAAAAAAGATTCTGAAAAGAAACTAACAGGAACCGGGAGCGTATAATTTTGAACGAAATATAAATAGCACACTTGCTGTATCGCAGAAAAGTTGGACGGTGAAAGTATGGGCAGTTTCAGTTTACCAGAAAAATTGAAATTATTTCCAGATAGATACTGTTACATAACGACGGCAACTTTCGATGGAAAAGGCACAAATCTTTGCCGCGGACTCATTGATCAGCGATTACGACTGCGTTTGTCTCTAATGATCGTAATCGACAGTCATTGAACTATCGGGAAAACAAGATTTGTTTAAACTCTCGACTAGGATTGATTGCGCTCTTCCTTATTTAACGTGGACTGTTTTCTTCCGCTTGCGAAATATTTCGTCAGGAATGTCTACCGTTTGTTTGTTATTTTTCGACGGTTTTCGGGAATCGATATAAATGGCATAAAGTAGAAAATGCTGTTCTTCTGGTGCAGGTTGACCATCGTTTGGTGGAAAAATGGTATCGAGACGGAAAATTCTGTCTCGATCGAGGGACAATCTTGTCGAATCACAGTACGAGGAACAGGACGAAGAGGACGTGTGGTATAATCTTGATAAACTTTACAAGGTGAACAATTAAAATTCTTTAAGTTCGTTGTACGCGGTTCAATGACTTTATTGCAAAACATAGGCTAAAAGTATATCCTGGTTAGGTTTACTATGCTCGTAGAGAAAATTCGGATTAACGCTGATTAATGCTGTCATAGTGTAAGTCTTGTAATAATAGCAAATCGTTGTCACTTTCGTTTCAGGATCACATACAAGAAGTGCTGGACAAATGGAATCAGATCGACGACGAAATTTGGGCCAAGGTGATAGTTTTCGAAAGGAATCGAAGGGTAGCAAAAGCATACGCCAGGGCACCGGTTCTCACGATTAACGGATCGAATGACGGCTTCGATGGATTCAGGTAAAACCACGCGATTCACGCGAATCAAAATATCTATTAATAAAATCTAAAGTGAAAGTGAAACGACAGTGTTTCCCTTTTTCTGGTTTCGAAGTTCGGCGATTGCAAAGAAGGGAAAAGATTTTAGATTAGTGCAACACAATGTTCGCAAAGATTATATTCCTAAATGATGTTAAACTATCTAAGGAAGGAAAAATTCATGAATAGGAAACGAGATATTTTCATAGAAGTATTTTAGAAACTATTAAAAAATGTTGAAAATATTTCGATGTAAGTTCGAATTTTATAAAAGTGTTCGTTTTTTGGAAATTTAGGATAGGACTATGCGGTTTCGAGAACCCGATGAGAGACGTGAAAACAGAGGAGGCGAAGAAGCACATAAATCAAGGTGTAAAAATCAAGATGGACGAGCAGGGGAATATCCTAATAAAAAGGCTGTGTAAAAATAACGTTTACATAAAGCCTACAAGTCAGGAAGACAACGCAATTGGAGCAGAAATCGCACGGAATTCTCAAGGAGCGTTAGAACACGAGAAGCCAGGGAAAGTAAGTATTCTACGAGTCCGTATCGTTTCAACTTGCGCGCCATTTTTCGTTTTTCTTTGATCTTTTACGATCCACGAAATTGTTCTCCACTTAAAATAACAATATAAGACTTCCCAGTCTCGTAACGTTTTTCTTCGTAAAGAAAGCACTGAGAACTGGACTGTAATAATTGCCATTTCACTTATTACTTTCATCGTTGTCATTTTTGTTGTAGCTGTTCACCCTTGACATTGAGAAGTCGATTCTTTTGGCAATAACTTTATTAATTTATTTTATATTCTTTGTCGTTGCTGTACTTACTGTATTTTTCAAAAAAGAAAGATTCTTCAGCAGTGAATAATATTCAATCCTACATTTGCTATTTCACTTTATTATACTATATTTTATATTTTTTACTAGGTGTTCGACATGAACAAATTCCAAACGAACCTGTCCCGAGAAACTCGGAGGGCCTACCCCGACAGAAGGAGATTAGAAATGCAATGTTTGAGTGCTATCGTTTTTGTTAGAACCGAAGCAGACCTCCTTCAGTGTCCTGTTTGGGTTCTTATTGTTAATGTCGTTGGTCTGGATATGTTAAAATCCAAGTTACCACCAGGTAAGATATCAAAACGACATCATTTTATTTTTATTGTCACCGTCGATAGAAAACTGATTAATATTATATAAATTAGTTTTAGCACTACAAAGGCCTGTAGACATAAAGAACAGGCCGAGGATACCGATTCCCGACGAAGATCCTTACAGCGTAGCGGGAGTATCATCCTCTATAGGAGTCTCGGAGGCCTTCCAGCAGGATCGAGAAACTCGAGAACAGATTTACGCTCAATCGACAAGTTGTCGACAAAGAAGAGCCGAAAGACCACCGAAACTGCCACCCAGAGAGAATCTCTACAGCCACGATATACCTAAAGTACTTCATCCCTTTCAAGAATGTTTTGTATTGCTAAAGATTGTAATCTTAAAAATTCACGATCATTACAAATCATAAATTGTAGAATTTGTCAGCAGAAGATTACTGAAATTAACTTGCACGGATAGTAATTATTCTTCTTTCATTTTAGCCTGATTACGACGACATAGAAGATGACTATGCCAGAAAACCAGTCATAGCAAATGAAGAAAAGAGAAGAGGCGATGATAAGAAGAAATACGGTAATGTTTACCAATTTGTGAACCATTTTAAGACAAAGATAATTATACATGTCAGTGTAGTGATTAAAATGAGTATATACAATTTAACAAACGTTATTTTTCGTTTACAGACGATCCGTATTATTGCGGATTACGAGCTCGTGTTCCTAACTTTGTCAAAATGGCGAAGAATAGTAAAGTCTCGACGAGAGGCTACGCCAGACCTCCACAGGCTCCCACTTATGCTGCAACAGGATATGGGAGCAGTCAGTCTTCACAAATATATGGCCATTTACCTGGGAATCGACCACCAATTATGTATCATGCAAGAAGTTTTGAAAGTGGACTTGGTATTATACATTTTATGAAACAGAAATTTTGACCAAAGCCATTATCAAATTAATTCACAAAAGTTTAATATTATTTTGGCTAGCTTTTACCTAGAAGAACATAGTTTTAATTTATTATTGGACCTTAAGGGTACACACACTGTAACGGCTTAACGATTTAATATAATAATTTTGTATAGAGTGAAGTCAACAATGGCACTTACAATAATTATTTACTATGCGATAGGAATAAATACTAATATTGTTTGTTGCATTGCAGACTCTGACGGTAGAAACGAATCACCATATAATCATATATATGGAAGATTTCCATTACCGACTAGAGGTGTAATGCCTCCTCAGCCTAGAGCAATGTACATCGGAGAATGGGATTGAAAGTGAAGAACAATTGATCAAAAGAAAGCGTATAAATGAGTGGACAACAAATAAGTCAGGGGCAAAAGATGACAACGTTTTCGGAACACCATGTAATAAGGACAAATAGAAGAAACATACAGATCACGTGAAAAGAAGATGATAAGATAAAGGATGATGAAAGGATTTAAAAATTGGAGTGAAGATTATATGTCAGCAAGTAATAATTAAGAGCAGAAAAGATTGAAGTAAAAGAAAAGAGAAGAAAACATAAAAAGGGAGAACTAATCTTCCGTTTGTACCTATAAACTGTATATTGTTAATGTACTACATAAAATACTCAAATTTTTATCGCAATAAAATTGTAGAACAATGTGTACTTTTATTTACGAACTATTCCTATTTCCTATTTAATAGGAAAATATAAAAATAATTTAAATAGAAGTACAGTAAAAAATATGTTAATGTAAACGCAGTGCATAAGGATATAAAAGACAATACAGAACATCGTATAAAATGTGGTGTTATTTGTAACATATTCCAAGATTTGTGTATAATGAAGAAAAAGAGTATTTTGCTTGTAAAGATAAAAAAAGATGTTGAATGTTCTGAAATGATTTGAGAATTTGTTCTTGTCCTTATCCCTGAAGATAATACGAAACACTTGTTGCTTACGTAATTGAAAAATTAATCTATTACGGATGTTACTCTCATTTGTCCGATAATCCAACTGCAACACTGTTAAATTTCTCTCCAGGAATTTTTGATTTTAATACATTTATTGCATAATCTACAACTGGTTTGTCATTTGTTTTCAAGATTTTTATAATCTCATCCGTGGTGGCAACCTTTGCTACTTCGACCCAATAGCTCTCAAGATACTTCAACAGTTCTTCCATCGTTTCCTCAGAATCTTCGCTTTCCTCTTTCATTACTGAAAATTTTTACAAAATATGTATACAATCCGTATAGACAATTTCTAAATTTTACTAGGAATTCATATCTCTTTTATATGAATTATTCACCTGTGTTAATGCTAAAAATAATTCTAAGAATTGTATCATCTATATCATCTGCAGACTCTGCTCTTAAAAATCCTTTCCATCGAAAATCGAGAATCATTTCTGCACATCTGTGGACACAAGAGGCCTTAGTCTCATCTAGGGGAAACAGATTCCATGGATCTATAAAATTTGATAAGATTCTTCGTGCAATTTCTATCGTTCGTGTAAGATTGTCATCTTGCAAAATTTCTTGATGAATTTGGGGTCCTTTTCGTAGATTGGAAAACAACTCTAACCAATCTTCAAGATACTTTAAGGTGGGAGCGGAATAGGAAGCTTCGTCTTGAGGAAGAACTTCTTCAAATGATTCTAACATGCCTATAAATTTGTTATGAGAAGAAGAATTAAGTTCCTCATTTTTTGAAACTAAAATTAAAAAATATATGCTACTTTAATACCTGGAAGAAAACTAGATGACTCAAATAGTTCATCTAATAATGTCTTTCCATTCGGAAGATCAATTTCTGCCAAAGAACGTAGAAAGCTTGTTGTTGCAATTAGGAGCTCCTCTATAATAAATCAGTAGGCAATTATGAACAAATTTTCTAATTTTGAATATTAACTATAATATTAATAATTTAATATTTGTACCTACCATTTGTAGAACTTTTTAAGATAAAGGGAATTACTTCTCTCAAGTAGGTTGAATTTCTTAAATTCACTCTCCATTGCGAATCTGAATTGTTTTGAATGCTCCAAAGTGCGGAACGTAACAACCGAAGAATTTGTACCAATGTGGCACTGTCTTCGGAGAACAGATGCCGAAGAATTGTTTCAAGGAGTTCTTCTTTTGTTCCTAATGTATCGAGTGCAGAAGGTTCACAAGTCATATTTCCAATTATTCCCAAAATCATTTCCTACAAATAATATAAACCATTTTGTTAGCATTGAAGAAAAGTATTAGTAAAAAGATATTTTTGTTTAAAAAGAAGGGGTATACAAAATGGGCAAATACTTTAAAAGGAATTAATGTATCAGGAGGATTTTATGGAATTAACTCAAGGAATGTTTCATGACCATTTTATTGAATAAGTAAAATACAGATTTAATAAATAGAATAATCTTAAAATAAATTGTACCGTTAATCTTGGCTCTTCAGAAGATTTCAATGAAAATTCTGCAATTTTATAAAAATCATTGTCCAGAAGAAATTGAACAACATCTTTGTCAGTAGTTATATCCCACAGGGTACACAGATCGGCTTCCAGTTTTTCATTCCAGCCATTTTCAGGAATCTTTAAGATATATTATATAATTGGAATTATTTAAAATATATAATACTAATATAAGATCTTGTTAATATTCATGAGATATAACTTTTAAAAATATTATCTATTTTAAAAAGTAGTGTCAAGCAATAGTTACGCATGAGCATTGAAATTATCTTATGTACTAAAATAATACATCAAACATAGATGTTAAGATCAATTGTGCCACTGTGTTTTGGTCAGTATGATGTAATGAATTTTTAGATTTTCTTTTCTTGTAAGATAGATAGATCAATAAATGATTGGAGGTAAAGTTGCAAACTGTGATACAAAAATTATTAGTATTACCTTTGATATTGAAAGCAAAACATTGATTATCCATTTACCACTGTAAAGGGTACTTCCCACGGTATCTCCTTTCAATTTTTCTATTTCACTTTCCTCGATATCCTGGGCTTCCAAAACGACACTTGGTTCCACTTTATCGTTCTCGTTTTCCTGAACCTCGCTCATTTTACGTATTAACAAGTACACTACCTCTGTTTACAAATACTTTTGCACAATTAGAATTGAAACCGTGTAACAACTATTTAATTTAATAGAGATATAAAACGAACATCGAGCAAGATTGCGAAAACAAAATCCTTTAACGGATTATTCGCGAATTTTCAGTTCGAACTTGGCACAGCTGATTAGTGTATACGAAGATAACCTAACCTACTCCAAATCCCAATACTGATTCAGCTACCTGTTTTTTTACGTTTCATTTTATGAATATTCACGAAATTAAATCTATTATTTGCAAAAAGAATTTTTTTATTTTAGTTTCTCTCGTATTTTGTAAAGATTATTTTGCAAATTCAAAATTGTATCGATAGCTTGATATCGTAATGGGTGTTTATCGAAATAATCGATGCTTTGATTACGATAATCGATTTAAATTCAAAACATCACAATTTGAATTCAAATATAAACTGCATATTAGGCTTCATGGTTTTTTGGTCTTTAATTCGCTAACACTTCTTGCTAAGTGAATCGTGAAAAGTATATGTATATGTATTAAAAATGATATGAAATCTGAAATCTCTGATCGAAAGAACTTATGCTTCTTGCACAGATTTAGGATCCGTACAGACATTGCATGCAATGCTTTTTTTGTCTCAGAGTCTGAATTACCGATTCTGTAGAAAATGCTGTAGTACGATAACGGCCTAAATGCGTGTCTGAGATGGCTAAATTTACAGCATTGGCAGCTTTTAAAAGTACATTGTTGCCACGATATATCCCTGCTTGTCGGCGACAGCACAGATTTGGAATCTGTACAAGCGACATTTTTTATTTGATATGCTTATATTAAACAATCATATGGCTATTTCGTTGATTTGTTAAAAAATCCATTTCTAATTTTTTATATATGTATATTAAATTGTTACAAATTTTGAAAAATTTAATTCAATATAAGTACCCGTGTATTAAGAAGTACGCGGGTTAATACATGTATATATTAACTACACGTGCACACGTGTATTCAGGTAGATGTGAAATAGGGACCTCTGGTTCCGAGTAACGCGAGCCAAGGGGTGGGGACGCACGATCTATCTGGTCTACCCTACCTGAACGTGAGCCCCCCTCCCCACCTTCTGCCGCATGCGCCGTCACGCGCGGTAATTCAATACATCTTTCTGGTCTTGTTATTAACAACTTTAACATTAAATATCTCAAAAACTCTAAGCCGTCTGCATCCAAAACCGAGTATATCATTGCATTCAGCTTTGCAAACTCTATCACTCTGCAAAATCTTATCAAAAAGTGAGTATCATCCCTGGGGACCTCTCCTTGTTCGTATCTCTAACAAACGGAATTGTTATAAATATTAAGAAGCTAGAAATAATAAATATTAATG